TTGACGAATGACGAAACCATTCGTCATGCAACTTCTCATTGACGAATTGACGATTGACGAAACCTATGACGAATGATAATTATGAGCATAATTCAGTAATGCTATCTGGCATGCGCTTTATTTTAACGAAATGTAAACCTAATAATTGAAAGTAATTTTTTCGCACATATGATTAAATTTATTTAATTATTGTTGTTGGAGTACTTTCTATATATGTCTTTATTTTATAATGTATGGTATCCTTTCTTGAAAGTACTTTAAACTATATAAATAATCCAAGATTATTTTCATTGAATACATATGTATGCGCATGTACGTGTATTTATCAATCAGACAAGCTTTATATAAAGTTTTAGCCTCAACGATAAATATAGCTTATATATCAAATCAGTATTAATAGTAAAGTTAAATATGTAAATATGATGTAGTTTTTTTTAAGTATAAATACGAAGAAAATCGATAACGATAATAGAATAACTTGCACTTGCACTTTATTACAATTATTGACGGGAAATGATTGGTTGCACGTGATTATACGGTCCCATGGGACCGCGAAAATGGGTAAATTGGTAATTAGTAGGATCGACGTAACAATTAGTAATAAGGTTATGCAATGCGACGTAAGACTATAAGGCTATTTGAGAGTCAATTAGTAAAATCGATGATGTAAGCTCACATGATAATTAAATAAATATGGGGTTCGATCTTGAAAATCGAACCTCCACTTCTACTTGTTCATAAAGTAAATTACAAAAGCCTAATTTGTAACGCAGTGGTGCCTTGAGGTAGAAGGTTGGAGTCGTTGCTAAGTGAAGGGGCAAGGTGTTAATACTGGAACGAACGTAGTAAAGCTGTGAGTGCGTAATTAAACAAAGCAAGCCATTTGGGCAAGATTTTAGAGAAACATGCACTTTAATTAATCCCCACGACAATTATAACCCATCCATTCTTTATTAATGCGTCAATCCTAGATACTGCAAATATAATGAAACATTAAACTCTAATAAAACTTCAAAAAAAAAAATAAAAAAAAACTCTAATAAAACTATTACCACGTTTATCTACAAAAAAATATTAATATCGGTCAAAGGCAATACAACTTTCACATTAATTTGTTGAATATTGTCCAACAATTTATTATCTTATGTATATCACATTTTCAGCTTACCATTCACGTTAGATTCAACACAAATTTTTTATTTTTTATTTTTTTTTACCTTTATTATGAAAAATAAACACCCGATTAAATAGCTTGGTACTTTTCTTTTTTTGGAAGTCTTACAGACTTATGATGCCATTGCATAAACAATAATTCCGGTTATTTCCAATTTTATAAAATTCATAAAAAAATATAAATACTTTCAACTCACGTTCTTGTTTTCTCAAAAAAAAAAAAAAAAAAATGTTATCAAACAAGCGAAAATCTAAAATACCTGTACCATCCTCACCATATACTTCTGAAAGACAAGAATCACCGGGCTCCTCCTCATCAGCTTATATTTCTGACCAGAATACACCAAATGAAACACGTGTAGGAGGACGAGGTTTATATCCTGTATGGAAATATTTTCAGCGTCAAAAAACTAAATCAAATGGATATTACTCAGCAAAGTGTGATTATTGCTCAACTAAATGGTCAAGAGGTGAACCAGTAAAGCTCGAAGCTCATCTTGCGCTTGAGTGCTCTTATGTTGAAGAGCATGTTCGGCAATTTTATCTACTTTGTGTAGCCTGTCGTAATAACTTGGAAGAGCAATCTGAACATTCAAAACGACAAAAATTAAATAATCAGCATGGTCTTACAAAATTTTTTCCACAAAAAACTGGAGGTGGTTTGTCCGAAGGACGAAGTAATACCATAAATGTTGCATTATTAAAAGCTTTTGTGGTGTGTGGTATTTCATTTTCTGTAATTGAAAACCTATTTTTTATCAACTTGCTTCAAACTTTGTGCCCGGAATATCAACCACCATCAAGAGAAGTTTTAGCAAGACGATTATTGGACCAGGAGTACTCTAAAGTTGTAATTAAACGTGAGGCTATTTTTCGTGAATCAAATAATCTAACTATTGGTATGCTGTATTTAATTGTTAAATTATATTTTATTGCTTTTACTAAATTACTCTATATTCTTTATAGCATTGGATGGGTGGATGTCACCTAATGGAAACTCTATATATAGTTTTGTTATTTTAACACCAATGCACAATAAATTTTTATATTCATTACATGATTTTTCTACAAATTCACATACGGCTGAATTTCTTGCAGAGAAAATTGATACTGTTCTGAGTGAAATTGGATATGATAAAATTACAGCAATTGTTACAGACAATGCCAGTAATATGAAGCTTGCTCGACAAATTATTCATGAAAAACACCCAAAAATTTTAAACTTAAACTGTATTGCACATTGTATTAATCTCGTATCTAAAGATATACTTAGTAAGTATTAAAAAAATATGTTTGATTATTATAAAATTTTATAATCTATTCATTAATATATTATTTTTTTAGAGCATACATTTGCTTTACGTCTTATAAAAGGGTGCAATGAAATTGTAAGATATTTCAAAAAATCATACCAGCCGAATGCATATTTGCAACAAGCAATTTATGAGTTAAATATTTCTGGTGGTGGATTAAGAAAATTTGTAGATACAAGGTGGACTTCGGCATATGAATGTACCTTATCCGTTAGCCAACTTGAATATGCACTTATTAAGGTAATATATTATTCTATTAATTAATTAATATATTTTATATTAATATATAACTAAGTATGTACTGTATATATATTTTTATATAGATTATGAATGACAACCCAAACTTAATTACAAATCGTACTGTTAAACAAATTTTAAGGCAACCATATTTTTTTTCAGACCTTAAAATATTAGTTAAAGTTTTATCTCCAATTCAAACTGCTATTATGAACCTAGAAGCTCAATCGACAACACTAGCAGATTGCTTTATGCAATTTGTTAGTTTAGCAGCTGCCATTAAGAGACTTTCAAGTTTTTGAATTAATAATTTTAAAAATTATTGCATAGATATTTTTAACAAAAGATGAAACAGTTTTAATATGGACATTTATTTGTTGGCATATTTTCTTCACCCGGGTTATCGTAGTATGTTATATTTTTAGAGTTTAATAAATTATATATATTTAGCTAATATAATTTTTTATTTTGGTAGGTGCTGGATTACGTGAAAAGCAATTTTATAAAATTGCACAAACTGCAATCCAAATATGGAAATGCGAAGGATATGATCTAAATGAATGTGCAAATCTTATTGCTTATATGCGATTGTTTAGAGAAAAAAAGGACAGATTTGACTTGCCTTATAGTTTTGAGAAAGATACCCCTTTGTTATAGTGGATGACCAATTATACTGGTTCCAAATCGATTGGAAAACTTGCAATCAAGATTTTTTCAATTACACCACACTCTGCAGACTGTGAAAGAACATTTTCATCATTGGGCTGGATATATGGAAAACGGCAATGTCAACTTTCTTTATCACGAATTCAGGCAATGGCTCAAATTCGATCTTTTTATGTTTCAAATATAAAAAGAGAACTTGCATTTTTTGGTAAAACAGTATCAGCGAATGAATTACAAGAACAAGTAGCATCAGCAACTTTTTTAGTTGAAGAAGATGAATGAATAATTGAGGAACTTGAAGTAGAAGAAGAAGTTGAATGTAATTTAGAAATTATTGAACATTTTGACATTGAAAATATAGTATACTTAAATGATGAAATGTTTCGCGATAGTGATTCTGACAGTTATAGTGAAGATTTCCAAGGTTATAGTGCTGAAGAATATGGTGACGATGAATTTGACTGTGATGAATTCGTTAGTAACAAAACAGGTCAAGGTATACTTGATTTTGATTCTGCAGAATTAGCAGAAAATTTAGTAAGAGAATGGAACTATGAAAACAATAGTAGTAGTATTGATAGCGATTTAGACAAAACAGATGATACAGATAAAAGTAGTAAGAATGTAAATGCTATAGAGAATGAAAATAATGAGGATGAAGACATTAGTGAGAGATCAAATATTATAGAGAATGAAAATGAGATTGTAAAATCTTTACCTATAGCGCTTAGAAAAACATGTCGTAAAAGTTTAAAGAGATAATAATCGTAGAATCTTATTGTAACACTTGGAAAACATGTAAAAGTTTAAAAAAGATAATAAATAAAGCAATACATTATCTTTTTATAGAGCAATTTTTTTTTTATTTTTAT